CATAGAGGGTTCTAGCACCCCTACCCCCTCCCCATGATTAAAAATCGGGTTTCCCCCGTACTTTCCCCACTCCTAATTAAATTGGGTTTTCCTTGCTATATTTGGGATGAGGGAGGCCGAGTCTAACTCGGTCTGAATTTTTTTGCCATGCCTAGTTCTTTTACGTTGGCACTGCACTCACTTGCAAAATGACCAAACTTTTGATAACTAAAGCACATTACATAGTTTTGTCACCTTTCTTTCTTTGTCCTCTTCCTCTATTATTGCCACATTTAGAGTTGTATGATCCACCAATTCTATTGCCTCTGCTTAATTTCACCCATTTGGAATGTTGAATTTTTGGAATTTTGGGATTCTTTTCCATTAATATTCTGAAAGTTCCATCTACCTTTATTCATTGGCCACTTTCCCTTCACTTTTTTATCTCTTTCATTGAAACATGCTTGCAAAGTAACCTCCATCTTCGCCTTAACAACATTCATTTTCTCCATTATCTGCTAATGAGCTCTAAGAGATCTATATAACTCTTCCTTGCTCATCATTGTAATATCCTTCGATTTATCAATCGCAACTACTACATTGTCAAATCTTGATGTTAAAGAATACAATATTTTCGCAATAACATACTGCTTTGTGATTGTTTATTCACTCGCCTATACTTGGTTCACCAATCTTGCAATTCTCGTAGTGAATTCACTAGTTATTTCATTTTCTTCCATTTGAATCAACTTCAACTGCCCTTATGAGTTTGTAACTTCACCCCCTTCGCCTTATCAACTCCTACATAACTTTTCTCCAAGATTTCCAAAGCTTCCTTTGAGGTTGTTTAGTCACCCAACTTCTCAAAATTATCTACATAAAGACATTGATGAATCAGGTACAACACCTTGTAATCTATTGTCTTCTCTTCTTTATATATAGTCCTTTGTGTAGTTGTTGCACCTTCTACAAGTGGAGTAACATAATTCTTGATCACTTTAAGAACATCTTGATAACCAAACAACTCCTTCATATGTTTGCACCAATTATCGTAAATTTTTTCATCGAGAACCAAGAGGTTCACATGGATTCGTTTATTGGAAATGGAAAGCATTTTCGCATTCTAAGTATTTCATGGATTGAACCCGACTCTTGATGTCAAATGTTGGAACCAGTAATCACGAGAATGGTGATTTTCAATATAGAGAGGGATAGAAATAGAGCATGAGATATAACAATTATTGAGGGTGAAAATGGTGAAATTTTATTATTGAGATACCAAAGGGGTATATATACATTTACATGGAGTGAGGTTCAAGTAACAGAAAAACCTACTACTGTAACCGGTTACGTACCCGCAACAGTAACCGGTTACTGAACGCTTCTGTTTAAGTGCTACCGTGCAATAATCAGTTACATCCCCGCACTAACCGATTACAAGTCAAATAAGTTTCAAATGTAACCAGTTACAACTCTGCAATAACCATTTACAGACACGTGAGTTACACATATTCACTTAACAACAATAGCAAAAGGAATAGTTAGATAAACTAAAATACAAAATTAATATATATTAATAAAAAATAATAATAAACAACGCATCTATAATATAAGAAGATTGATGGCTCTGGAAACACCAACTTTTCCCTCAGCCTTGGCAACAACATGTGTCCAAAATGAGGGCTTTTAGTGTCCAAAAATTTGTTTTCCTAACTGATTTGGTATTTGGTTCAATGGTAACCAACTCATTGGATGAAAATGCCATCGGTGTCCATATCTCTACATATAAACCAATTTTGATTATAGGGACTTTCTATGTAATCTTCACTGCCTTTTTCAGTTTTTAGTTTCCTTTCAACCTCCCTATTTCCATTCATGACCTTTTGCAACTTTAACATGTCTAATCAATCAGACAATTAATCTGCATAATATCCAACATTTCACCATTATAAGTTTTTTGAATATCCTCTCCCTCACTCCACATTTTCATTTTTCATCTCCTTCCTCTTTCCAAACTTCATATGTGTGTTTTCTCTAAGCTATTTCACCATTATCTCCGAAAATTATGTTCCACATAACATGTAAAGTGACTTTATCTTCTCATGTATTTATTTTATTTTCTTCTCCATCTTCGTCTTCGAAACGTTTTCCCAATTTGTTTCTGTTTTGAATTTGTTATAACTTCATTTTTACCTTTGTATATGCATTGAAAATTTGATGAAGTTTCATGTCTTTATGTTATGAAGTTAGAGATTCGTTTACATTGTATATTTTGTATTTTTTGCAGCCACAAATTGAAATGACCCGAAAAAAGTTTAAGGAATGAGCATTTATGAAATTTGGTAAATCCCCCACTTTTATTCGATTTTCTTCGTCAAATTCGTTTTTTTGTTGATATTTTTCATAAGGGTTTCATAGATTGAAGCTCATATTTTTGTTTCTCTTCCATTTTATTCTTCAGATCTATAAAAGATTGCAGATGAGATTTTGGATCTGGAGCCAATAACACTTGTCTCCAAAA